TTAGGAATAAGTTTTGAGAATTGTTGTAGAAGACGTTGTTCTTCATCTGCTTTGGCTTCAGGCAGACAGCAGGTAGTAAGCAATGCAAGAGAAGTCTGAAATTCAGTATATATTTTGTTCCAGAAATTTGGAGATGCTGCAAAGTCTGAAGGCCGAACGAGAGCAAGTTCTTCCAGCAGTCGAGAAGGATCTCCTGTGGAAAATCCAGTTCGTCCTCCATGTAGAAAAGTGATGATTATAGAATCACGATCAGCTGCCCAAGCTAATGGCCGATAGGAAAAATGAATGTAATCTGCCGATGATGATGATGGAAGTTGTTGTGGAAATGCGGCTCGAAAAGCGTTTTCAGAAACTATAGTACCCTTAGGAAAAGCCAAACTTCCACTAGTGTATAAAATAGTGAAACAATCTGTAGGTTGAGTATTGACACAGTCGTATTGGTTTGTAGAACCATATTTCTCAATATCTTCCATATAATGAATTGAGATGCCGTTATGTTTTGTAACTGTTAAAAAGATATAAATCGAAATGTATCAAAACTATAAACTTACTTGATATTATATCAGTTATAGGATCCATGCAGATTATATGTTGCAATGAAGAACATTGTGATTGTAAATCAATAAATCTTGGTAATACTTGCTTGTCACAAACGACCACTGTTACTTTTGTATTATTGATAACATATGCAATTTCACTTTCAGTAAACATAGTATATATTGTTACACTAATGATACTTTGAAACATGCATGCAAAATCAGTGATCATCCATTCAGGTCTGTTTCCTGCACAGATACCAAGATAACCACGTGGTTCAATTAAACGTCTTAATCCATGTCCAAAGTTCATTGATCGGTCACCAATAGTCTTAAATGTAAGCCACGAGTATGAGTCCATATAGATGGAAAGATTTTCTTTGTCAACATTGCGTGTACCCATACAATGGCGATCCCAATATTTGTCAATTGCGGCTTGAATAATAGTCTTCATATTTTTTATGTGATATTTCTTTTTTTCCGCACGTCCATATGCAAGCTCAGGAACCATTTGATGAGGATGTGGTGGATCTGCTGTCTTTGCACATGTTTCACAATAATCAAAATCGTCGCAGATTGTGCAATTATATCGAAATTCACCATGATTAAGTGTGCGATTGCAATTATCACAATACCAAAAACTTAATTTTTCAGAATTAATCATATTTACCTCAACCGTGAAATCAGATAAAGTTATATAATGGAAAAGTGGTTCCTACTATGAGATCTTTCAACGATTAAGTGATATAACCACTTTTTTCTTATCGAAAAAAATCTGACAGGAAAGAAAAATGAAATGATGAAGACTTCATGTTAATAATATTTGAGTAAGAAAAAACTATAATGATTATTCGAGTCTATTCTTTGTTCTATTTTACTCAACTATTGAGCAAGTCTTTATTATAAGAAATGAAATGATTCGCTCACCTTTTCTATTATTCATAATTCGCAAAGGTAATAGATGTCTTACGATAATAGATGATGGCTATACTATATCGTCTATCAAATTTTGTGTGACACGAATAAAATGGCAAAAACTTTTTTTGCCGGTTCTACTGATATCAATGAATAATTAATACATATTTCTGTTGTATATGAGTCAACGTTTTGGACATTATGTTCGTTAGAATTTTTAATTAAATTTGAGATTAAATAAGTGAAATAAGATTAATTTTATGCAACGATAGACATGTCGATCAATTATGAAGACTGTTACTTTAACCAATAATACAAAAAAAAACATGCTAGAAGCGATCTTCAACGACATCTATTGTTTTTCTATGATATTTAACGTAGTTAAAATGACAGTGTGTGTGTCCAATACACTTGATAGACTGATTGTATTTTTCATTTTTTTTATACACTTAAAGATGCTCCCATCTTATCCTATAACATAATAGTGTGTCTAGTTCATGATGACTGCCTGAGAAGCTTGATTTTTACAGCTTTTTCGTTGCCAAGTACTGAAACCTTGTGTTTATAATTTATCGAATTTTTTTAATATATTACAGTAAACCTTTCCGACAAAGTTGAAGCTTCTTGAGTTGATTTATACAGTGCAACTCTATCTTCTGTTCAATATTCATACAGAAGTATATTCTTCTTTCAATGATGTACGTGTTTTTATACTAACTAAATTTATTCTCGTTAATATTATAATAAAATTCATCGATTAATTCATAGGTCCATTAAGAGAATCTACGAATTCTTTCATATAGAGTTCTGATGGAGTCTTCTGACTAATTTCATGTCCATATATTGATCTTAAAGATCTGTCCTTCCACACACGTAATGTTTGAGGAACAATGGCGTCAGCTGGCACTCGACAACTAAATGAATAACGTCCACCAGTATGCATTGCTGATTTAGGATGAGTCTGATAAGCATTTCGGTATTCACTATCAAGAGTATATTGCGCTCGTTCACGCCAAAAAGGATGCGATCGATTATAAGCCATCGGTAGACAAAATCCTTGAGACGCTCCTA